TCAAGTGTGTGAGATACTTAACCTTGGAGATGAATCTTGGAACGGTGCCGTTTAGTTGGTTTCCACTCAGATCTAAGTGTGTAAGCTCTTGAATTGAGGAGATTGGATCTGGGATTGGTCCTGATACCTTTTTGAATGATAAAGATAGGTATTCTAGTGATATTAGGTCGTCGATTGAATCGGGTATGTCGCCGGAGATAGAGTTTTTGGATAAATTTAGAGACTTTAGGTTTGAGAACAGAGTAATGGAAGTGTGTATTGAGCCTTTGAGTAGATTGTCAGATAAATCGATGAAAGTGAGATTTGAGTGGAAAGATTTTGGGATGATTCCGGAGAGATTTGCGTGAGAGATTGTCAAAGAGACGATCTTGTTCATGTTTCCGATGATAACGAAGAGACCAGAGGTTGAGAAGGGAACAGAGGAGATTGTGAGGTCAGTGAGGTTAACGAGACGAGCTAGGAAGACTCCGGAGAGGCCATTACGACGGCGGTTAAAGATGTTTGTTTCGAAGGTTGAAGATGAAGAAGAAGAGCTCTAAGAATATATAAGTATATGCAGGGGCGGAGGGAGAGAAGATTCATAGGGGTCAATTGACCCCGGTGAAATTTTAAAAAATAGTTTAATTCTTATATGAAAAAATTATTGACCCCAATCCAATAAAAATATTGACCCCTATAAAAAAAATTATGTTACAAACCCAATAATTACACTATACTTATAGATAATATTAGTCTAATAAAATTTATTTTAAGTAAATCTACTACAATTATAAAGTAATATAATATTTTAACATTTATTTTGACTTGATCTAAAAACGTTTTACTTTCTTCTTCTTTCTTCTTTGTGTTTTTAATCAATTTTTGATTATGTGATGGTGGAAATAAGAAAACATCTTTCACATCTTTTAGTATATCGACTTATGAAGCTATCTTTTATGCATTTTTTAGAAAAAAAAAAATATTTTGACCCCGATGAATAGATTTTCTGGCTCCGCCACTGAGTATATGAATTTTTGTATAAATACCAATAAAACGCTACAGGTGAGGTGGTTAAGTAACCTTTGGTTTTTCTCAAAGGTAAGAGGTTCGAATCCTAGGTTTGTAAATTTTTTTAAAAAGACAAAAACGACGTCGTTTTGGGGTGGTTAACGGAGGTGTTAACGGATGTTAGATAATCTGTTAACGATTGGTAACGGTTAGTTTTTTTGGCCTGGTCAACGGAATGTTCATGGTTCAAACGGTTGGTCAACGATATCTTCATGTTTAAAATGGCCATATATGAAGTTGGTGTAGAGAACGGCCACAATTTGAAAGTTGGGCTATTAAATGACATTTTTCCGTTTAGAAAATGTATACTTCTCAAATTACTTTCCAAAAAGTATCTACTATACCAAAAAAAACCTTTTTTCTTATCACAAAGACCATAATCCAAATTTTCAACAGCCGGAGCCAGCATAAGTTCGATGTCCCTAGCTAGAATAAATAAAGTTCTTTTTCATTGGCTCAAGTACAATAGAAGAATGTGCTAATGAAAAAGCAACATGAGATGAAGAAGGAAAAATCTAAGCAATAACAGCTAAAGAAAATACATAATACCTCGAATCAGAATCATACATACTTCCTCAATTTGATGAATCAAATGAGGAGACAATTACCAAAAAAATTATTATCGCCTTTATCAACTATCAATGATGTATGTGGAACAACATAGATGACAATATTGATGCAAATGTGATGATGTCTTCATTAAAAGTAAGAAATAAAATATTCTTAAAACTCCAAATCAAATACATCCTAACTGTGTGAAGTATAATAATAACTGAGAAACAAGTATCTACATATTCGACACTGATACTTTCTCTAATTTGCATTGACAATTATCGACACACACAATATGAAGTAAGTTTAGGGTGAATTAAAATACTAGACCTAACAGGGATAGGCCTAACTCAATAAATCCCAATTCATGTAAGTGTCAATACTGAAGACATTTCAACCCTTCAAAGGCTCAAACCCATTTAACAAATGTTACACAATATAGCCAAGAAGATAAACAATTCTGATGGCCATTAGATCTAATACCAAACTTGACATGTTTAGAGTAAATATATTATTTCATATGCAAACTCAGTCTTAGATTTCGATTTTGTAACTTTTTTTTGTTAAGTTCTGTTCAGTTTCATTTGAGAATAGGTTTATCGAAATACATTCCTCCTAATAATCAGTTATTTTGGTGATCCGGATACTTCATCCAACAAAAATCAGTTCGTGTTTATTTTGAAAAGAATTAATTACGGATTTTGCCCTTTTTTATAATGGCATTTATGGATTTTGCCCTTTTTTGAATACTTTGTGGATTTTGTCCTTTTTTAGGCTCCAAAAATATGATTTAACATGCGTTTCATTCGTTATGTTTGGGTTTAGTCGGTTCCATTTGTTCTTAGGGTTTAGTATTTGGTATAATGTACGTATTTTTGCAAAAAAAATCATAAATACGTACATTTTTAAGTGTTAAAAAAGGGCAAAATCCGTAAACTATTAAAAAAGGGCATTTTCATAAGTTTTTTTTTAAAAAGGGCATTTTAGACAATAATCCCTTTTGAAAATTCAACATACATAAACAAAAATGCATTATTGGTGTCTATAACTCTACCGGTCGACTTTGAGATCTTTTGAAACATGACCAAATCATGGGTTTGAATCCTTCCAATATCTTTAAATATATATATAAACTAATTTATCTCATTAAAGTTTCTGACAAAAAAGACTATGGACAAAAGTTATAATATTTTTTTAAGAGCATCTCTAACTCATCTCTATTTTTATCTCTATACTCTATTTTAGAGTAAAATCTATTTCAACTTCTATCTCTTTTCACCTCTAAAATAAAGTTCTAAATTTTTTGCTCTGTTTATAGAGGATCTCTATTTTTCTTCTATAATAGAGTTAAATTATTTTATTTACAAAGTAGTCCTTTAACTTTTAACTTTTTTTTATTTATAATTAAAATAAATAAAATTAATATTTTGGATTGACTATTGAGGTTTTGGTATAAATATCTATTCTAAAATTTGTGACTACTATTTGCAAAAGAGAAATTATATAATGTCTTATAAATATATGAATTATATATTTTATTTTTATTCATTCAATAATAATTATTTTTAATACAACTAATTACTTAATATATGTGTATGATGTAATGCATTTTTTATGATAAATTTTTAATTTAAATAATATCATAATTTTATTAAGTTTTTGTAAAAATTAAAGTAAATGTGTTAATTATAAATTTTATAAATTAAAGGTATTAATTTCAAAATAAAAATGGAATCTATTTGGAATATGTTTTTAGAAGAAAAAAATAGCAGAATATATTTTTATTATAGAGTTTCTTTATTTTAGAAAAAATATAAAAATACATTGAAAATTGTCTTAAATATAATTGTGGTTTCACTTAGTTAATATTGTGAATTTGATTAGTTTAGCGTTGGGACAGTGGTGAAAAGTCATCCCCTTCTAAAATAAACTATTAAAATGGGTAGTCTATTTTTCAATTTTTGGTTGGAAATGATTTCTCTATCTTGGCCTAGTAAGTAGTAATCCTTGTTAAATGTTAACTACCATAAAAATCACAATAATATGTAGTTCTAGTTTATTTTGTATCCTGGCTGTACAAAGAAAAATAGTACAATATATCTTGGATTATGAAAAAAATATGTATATGATAATATTATACAAACTTGGTCCTTATTTTTTTTTGGGAAAATCACATTTTTAACCATTAAAGTGTCATTGGGTAGCACTTTAAACCTAGAAATAATTTCACTAATACTATAAACCATCAAGATAATTTACTAACATTTTAAACTTCCAAAGTAGATTTTCTATTTCCACCGCCATAAAAAATGATGGAACAGTTAATTTCTATTTGTTTAATATAAACTTTTAAATTTAATTTAATTTTATTATTTATTAAAATTAATAAAAAATCTATATAAAAAAAACTTCATTTTCTTCGTTTACTCATCGTCCGATCATGAAATGTCGACGCTTAGCGGGAAAACAAACCATTCTTCGTATCGTAGGTAATATATTGGGAGATTGATTCAAAAGCATTTTCACTCTCTAGTGGACAAATTTGGATCTCATAATACTAATTGCAACAAAAACGTGTGGCCTCTTATCCATGCCATTAAAGTTCGGTTAAAATACTACCGATGACACTTTAAGGGTTAAAATGTAATTTTCTCTTTTTTTTTTTTGTGACAATGAACAAACGTGTACTTCTCATGATTAGCAACAATTAATTATTTATTTTGACATCATGCAAATTAAATTGATGGAAAGTGCGATGTATATTCAGAATGTTGTATATAAATTTGAACTATATGTCATTTATTAGTGTTGTGAATGTTATGATAGATGATCTTTGTGACGTTGAAAGAAACAATAATTGATTTTTGTAAAATGCATTTAAAAACTTTCTTTACAACAACAAAAACAAATAGAAGACTCCGGATGATAGATATATAAGATTAATTGCTTCCATCAGTTAGGTTTTGAAAGTGACCAACTCATTATTCACTCACTATTCACTATTTTTGTTTATTCCATTAACTAAACAGTAGACCAACCAAAAATTTTAAAAGAATGGATTTGATTGATAATCTCGTTTAAACAAAACAGTATAACCCATTTTAGTAGTTGTCAAAAAGACGATTAAAAAATAAGACACCAAAAATAGTAGAAAAAACTATTAAATCAAAAATGAAATAAATATTTGCTATGATTTTTGACATGTAGTTGAAATGGAAAATTAATTTTTTTAATAAATAACATATAATTATTAAAAGATAAAGAATTTATATTCTATTGAAACCAATAGAAATAAACATTTTTCAAAATTATAAGATAATCTTTGCTTTTTATTTATTTTAATCGATGACCTAGTTATCCAAATATTTAACTCTTCTTAATTTTTTAGTTAGTGAACGATGTCTGCATTTTTTTTTTACATTTCCAATTTTAGGGATAGAATACAAATGAGCATAGGCCGTGTTTTATATCACGGGAACATACATATACAATAAGTTCTAAGTATAAGAACAACTAAAATAGTGATTACATAATGAATAAAATGAAAAAATTTCTTAGCACAATATCATAAACTGATTTTAATTAATTATCTAAAAATTTGACATTTCAATCTATGTTTAATTTATTCCGTCAGGTTGACGAATAAGCGAAGCTTGTATTTCTTCAAGTGACAATCCTTTTGTTTCCGGAACGAGCAACCAAATAAAAAGCAATGCTACTCCTCCGGTTGCCCCAAATACGTAAAATGTTCCTGTTACATTGATCTAAATTATTAACTTATACTACTTGATTGTGTCCCCTAATTATAACAAAAAGATTTCAAACATAATCTAACTTTTTTTTTTTAATTCGGTCTACTCTCGAAAAAAATAAAGTATAACTGTTGATAGGCTTTATAATTATGCGAATTACATAAATTTTCTAGACTTAACCTTTGGTTTGGATTTGCAGTTAATATAAGATTAGATTAGAACTGACTTGTCCAACATTTACAACAAATATTTATCCCAACAAACATCTAAACTAATCAGTCTTTCAATATTCGGTTTCATATGAAAAATGAATATATGCATTATAAAATGGATATAGGTTTTATAAGAATGCGATAAATACAAACTGTGGGTGATAAAAACAAAAAAAAAAATTCTGAAAACTATTTTTTATTTTCTTCTACACAATCATTGATTTAGATTTAATTTTTTTTTTTACCTAGATAATTTATAACCCATAACCTAATTAATGAAACTTATAAAATTGTAGTTTTAAAAAATGGTAAAGAAGAAAAAACATACCTTGGAGCAATTGTAGTTTTAAAAAATGGTAAAGAAGAAAAAACATACCTTGAGTGCTCCACTCGAGCAGAAAGTTGAAAGCGTAAGTGACGATCGAACTACTTGACCATGATACTAACGTAACTATACTTCCTGCTGTTACTTTTATATTCATTGGAAATATCTGCACACAACAAAAATTATACATATATTATGATTATTATTGAAACTTAGAATTCTACAATGTGCAATGAATTTTTTTTTTTTTAACTCATACATATATTACTTAATTCAGAAAACATTTACTTATTTTCTGCAATGAAAATAAAAGTGGAGTTAAATTATGTACCTCGGACATAATTACCCAAGGAAGGCCTCCCATGCCTATTGCAAAAGTTCCAATATACAGCTGCCAATAAAGAAAAATCAATATTTTAGAGAAAAAGACAAAAAAATGTTTATTGATGTGAAAGTAGATAAAATGTTTTACCGTAACGCATATAAACGTGAATACTGGAGTTAGTTCTTGTAGCAATTGCATTTTCTGCTCAAACCATAATAATATTCAAAAAGAAAAATAGATAAATAATTTACATTACATTATAAAAGGACTCTATAATAAATAATAATAATAATAATCTATAATAATAATAATAATAATAATAATAATAATAATAATAATAATAATAAATATTTAACATAACCTGTAATGTGAAGGCGACTCCAATAAGCATGGAAGTTATACACATCCCAGATACAGAAGTCTATATGTCCGAATAGGAGGAAACAAATCAATATCAAAATAGATTTTTAAATAATTTGCTGGTAGTAGTAAATAATTTTGTTATAAGAAAACAAATTGGGAAAAAAAATTGTAAATGTGTAATAAGAAAAGAAATGTTTTAAAGGTGCTCACCAACAAGAGAGGCCGTCTGCCCCATTTATCAACAAGAATGACACCAATCATGGCTTTTGGTATCTGAGAATAGTTCATTGAATTTTGAAAGTTTAACAAAAATAAATGTCGATTTAAACGCCAACATCATAAATGTGTCATTCTGCATCCAAGTATACTTACCATGAAGAGGCCTAGCAGTGTCGATCCAACGGTCACCGAAAAACCTGTTTCAACCCAAAACAATTAGTTAAGCAAACGCTGTCAAAAAAAAAAAAAAAAATAGTTAAGCAAATAGAAAAAAATTAAAACTGTAAGAGAACTCAAATCAATATTTTAGTTTTCAAAAAAAAATCTCTTAAGTATTTATAGAGATAATGGTATCTGAATGCAAAATCAATAACATAAGTAGAGAAAATATAAGTATTTCTTAAAAAGTCTCACAGAATTTGGAAAATATATGTAGGTACTTTCACTTGCATATATAAGAGTAATAGAGTTAGACAGATTGTTGTATGTTAGTGTCTGTGTATAAATATTTACTGTGTTTTTTGTCAATGTATTGATAATTATTTCTATTGCTGACATCTTACTATAAAAAGTATGGACGATTTGTGCAGAGACAAAAATGGAGCTTCTAATTAGGAAATCGACAAAAGTCGATTTTTTCGGAGACAAAAAGAAAAACAGCGTTACAAAGGACCTTCAGTTCAAAAAGAATTACAGAAAAACCAGATGTATACGCACCCATGCGCGTGGGATTCTCGGCTTTGACTTTTTGGCAAAAAAGAATGAAGCGACCGTTAATAAATGCTCTGCTACGAACTGACCTTTACGCTACAAACATTTAATAATAGACAGACTAACATTAATTCTTGTTTTTTTCAAACTGGGAATATATTAGCACGCTACAAATATATATTAGACGATTTTGAAATTTGTACACATGTAAACACATGTATAGAGCGCTAAAATTAATTCTAGTGTTAAGTTATTGGATCTATGTTTACATGTATAGAGCGTTATTAACATTTGTATACACGTAAACATGTACATGAATCATTATTGACATTTGTATGCATGTAAACACATGTATAGAGCGTTATTAACATTTGTATATATGTAAACACTTATATAGAGCGATATTAATATTAGTATACTTGCATAAACACTACAAACATAACGATAATCACTGTATCCCAAACCTTTGAATGGAGCAAGTGAATAATACATTGTAATTGGACATTGAAATATGATTGGAGTCATAAATTTCATCAAGTTTTCGATTGATTTTCACCGGTTTTTGTTGAATTTTTACCGGATTTCTTCGAATTATCACCGGATCTTCACCGGATTTCATCAAACTGTCATTGTATTTTCATCAGTTTTTGTTAAATTGTCACCGGAACTTACAAAGATTCATCATAATAGCAACACTAATTGTGTTGAATTTAAAGTGTTGCGATTACAGTGCGGTGCTCTGTTCGATCATGGCTCAATATAAACGATGGCAGCACACGAGGAAGATAACATGTAAGAAATATACATAGATCTATAAAGATTTTTAGATATTCATGCACAACATATTGATGTCTCATGTATTAAATCATATCATGTTGAATGGAAACACGCGTGAGGCTATTTTTGGCAAAAAGAGGGGCTAAAATTTTCTTTCTTTTCGGTTCCAACAAAAAATTATGAAAAACTAAATAATGTCCAGATCTCTGTCTCTCACCCAATTATCTCTAAAAAGTAATAAAACTTAATCTTACCAGCTTTTCTTAAAATGGTACTTGCATAAGAGAGTACAGCAGAACTTCCTGAAAACTGTTGTATCAACATTAGCCCGATTCAGAAACCGGATCACAAAGTGGATAGATAAACAAGTCAGAAACCGGATCACAACTCTTCGACGTATGGGAGACAGAAGATACGACGAGGCGTACCAAATGTGGCTAGCTACTCGGAGCTAACACGTTCAAATTCTCATAGAATTCTTATCAGTTAATTTTTTCAACCCTATCTCAAACTCACGCCGCACTTCGTTGTAAAAACGTTTATTTTTTCTTTTGAATATAATTTAACATTAAATTCAAAAAAAAAAAAAAAAAAACATTAGCCCGATTCCTACCTGAGAAATTAATTTTCAAACAAACAAGTCAATGCTTGTGTAGATAAATCTGGAAATTAATTATGTACTTATTTTTTAACGTATATTTCACTGTACCACGAGAGTATATCTATACTTTCTCTGAAACAAATCACAAAAACTCGACTTTGAATCATTTTCTACTATTTTGGTCATTACCTGAAAATAAAACAAAAATCATTGAGAGTTTACATTGTTTTATTTGTGAAGGAATAAATACATATTCTAATTAACTACTTTATATATGATAATATCGTATTATAAAACTCACTTGAATGTCTGAGGCTTCACGTGAAATATCAGCATCTCTCCCTCTAAGCCGAAGCAGTGAATTTTCTAGTTCTTTATCTGTACCAACTTTTGCCTTCAAAAAGTAAAATAGTTTAGTTTCATTTTATTTCTTCTCATGGTTGATAAATTACGTAATGTGAAATCTTATAAAAAAATTGACCAACCAGCCATCTTGGGGACTCTGGTACGAAGAATAAACCGATTACTTGAATGAAGCATGGTAAAGCACCTAAACCAGAAAAAATTGTATATTTACAAGATATTAAGATAATTTGTATACTCTTGTAATATAATAACTCAATCTTTTCCACAATATTCCTGCTATTTAATCATTTTTACGGTATCTAATTTAGTTTTTCTACATTAAATATGAAATAATAGTTGTACTGTTAAAAATCCTACATTAGTAACATTTACCTAATAGAGCCAATTTCCTCCAGTTGAGAAAATTCCCCGAAAAATAAACCATGGCGAGTCCAGAGTTTTGAAGAAGCTAATAATCAATCACACCAGAATCAAAACGGGTCAATACTCAAGAGAAAGCTAACAAGTATTATATAAAATTTTACAAATACGGATTTCGCTTTAACATGTTAATCAATTATGAGACAAACTAAGTTGCTAAAAATTTTACAAATTAATTCTACTTGAGATTTTTTTAAGAAAAACCATATTTTCTGACGTTCTCTATAGTATATATGAAGATAGATATGTGACAATGAACTTTTGGGTTTTGAGATTATTATTTACTCAATTTTGATGGAATATTTTCTCTTATACTGTCGAGATCATTGTTATGTTCCCACAGTTGGTTATTTTTTGTTTAGTTCCAGCATAATTTGGTCACATGGGTGAGAGATTGGAAAAACGGCCCATTAATAAGAACCCCGACATTTTTGAATGCAAATTCTGACTCTTTTGCACTTATCAACAATATGAACCCACATAATTTTCAAATAACAAATCCGAATTATATAACCGTATGTCAATTTTAACACATCCGTTATTAAATAATGTAACAAACCTGAATTATATAACTGTTAGCCAATTAAATAAGGGCTTCTGGCACATTGAGGCACTTTTTAAGTTTTTATGAGCATATGGGGCACTTTGGTGGGAGTAGGCACTTTTTTAAGTTTTTTTCACTGTACAACAAAAATCAATACAATTTTGCCCTCAGATTTCCTTCAAACGCTTAACTAGATTGGTTAGAAAATAACTAGACATGTTTTAATTCTGGCCGTCAGATTTAAAGTAGAAAACAGATCTGAGAGTAGGTGGGAGAAAATACTGCAAAAAAACAAAACTGAAAAATAAAAGCTAAATATTCTCTCTGCAACCATCGTCATCCTTACTTGTCTCTCTTCTTCTTAGATCTAAAATCAAATAAACAGAGCTTTTGATTTTACATAGTCAATGAAGAATTCGGGATTAGATATTAAAATCAGAGAAACAAAGAGTGTTATAGTGTACTTTTCTCCTTCTTAAAATTATCTTTCCGATTTATGAATGCTCAAGGATGAGAATCGTTTTATCAAATTCAAACCATTAGCTCACTGGGTTTTTCCTCCATCGAAATCATCACTGGCATCGTCGCCATCATCGTTGTCTTACTCTCCCATGGCTTTTAGTATCACATCGGTGACGACGTTTGATTTGTAGTGGAACCGTGGTGGATTATGACGTCCTTTGCAATTTGGTGTCCAATAATTGTTGTTTATCAATAACATGTTGTTGTTCACATTCTTTCTGCTATCCATGTGAATGAACTTGCATATCTCATTAATATTTTGTTATGTGTTGCAAATTATACATGTTATCAAGTTTGAACACGCCTTTGTTCATTGACTCCTTTGCGCTGACATCTCTTTTCTAATTCTACTAGTTTTGTGCCTTGGTCGCTTCACCACGAAGATCAAAAAGTGAACAAGTTTTGGTTCTGCTTTAGATTGGTCATGAGGATCTGAGTCTTGGATTTAGATTGTAACTGTTTCTTTCTTCTTGTCCACATAAATCTGTTCATTTCATAATGTGACTGTCATGGAGGTGTCTCTGCCTTTGCTTGGGAACAAAAAAAGATCCTAAGCTTGATGGTGGTGTGGTGAAGAAGAAGCTAGTGTGTAAACAATGTATATATAGATGGCTATTTATGGATGATTAATTGTGGATTGTTGAATTTAATTAAAATCTTATTTACAATATATCACAAGTTTGTTAAACATTGCTAAGTATAATATTGAATTTAATTAAAACCTTATACATATTTGTTTTAAATACATGAATTAATCTACTAGTTTGTGATTGCTAGTAACCATTTAAAATTGTCATTTGGCCGTTTCTAGTCAAATAATAATTTGACTTGGGTACAATGTGCTCGTAATTTAGTATATGTAAGAGTCAAAGCCATGTGGACAAGCTAGTCGAATGAACCAACGTGTAGACTCAAATCTTATATTTATTTTAATACAAAGCTTTTGTTGAATCAAGTCTTATATTGATGGGAAGATGAATTGAATCATTAGTTCTTAGATATTTTTGGTTTCTGCATTTGCACAAGCGTGAAGAGACAATCTTGTTTAAGCAATCTCTTTTGACCATCCATATGTTCACATCCATCATCTAGTAGGTTCATCTAAACCCTAAACCCTTAAGTCCACGAAAGTATATCCACAATACTGAAGTCCACAATGTCTACAAAGCAACACTTCATCTGAATCTACAAAAATTTTGGTAGTTTTTTGTGTTCCATCTACTCTTTATTTGCTAAGATGTCCACTGAAGATAGTATATGTGGACGATGAGTTATGGACGACAAAACAAAATATTCCAACATAGCAAATAAAGATTGAGCCCAGAAAATAAACCATGAAAAATATTTATTTATTGAGCACATAAAGAATCTTAGACTTCTCTTTAAAAAAATTTCCATAATAACATGTCCATCCCCAAAAAAAATGACTAATAATGTTTACAACAAAAGAAAACTCCCAAAATGAGATTGCAAACATAGCTCTTTTGGTTAGCAAAAATGTAAATTCCAATGTACGTTGACTAAATTTAAAATACCTAAAAACTTGTAATATGTCATTCCATAACTCTTGTGGTGCCCATAATAATGTGTCTCATGAAATTTCTTAAATAGTTTGTGTAGAATCAAATCTTAGATTTGTTTTAATGCAAAGCTTGAATTGTATAAAGTCTTATATTGATGGAAATATGAACTTGAATTTTTAGTTCCTAGGTATTTTTGTTTTTTACATTTGAACTAGTGTGAAGAGACGATCTCGTTTAAGCAATATCTTTTGACCATCCATATGTTCACATCCATCATCTAGTAGGTTCATATAGAGTGTGATAAAGATATTGCTTAAACCCAAAACCCTAAATCCTTAACCCTAAACCATAAACCTTAAATCCTAACCCATAGAGACTAAGCCCTAAATCCTAACCCATAGAGACTAAACCCTAAACCCTAGATACAAAACGCTGAACCCTATACCCTGAACCATAGAGAATAAATCCTAAACAAATGATAATCAAACCCCTAAACGCTAAACCCTAAATCCTAAACCATAAACCATAGAGACTAAACGCTAAAGCCTATACAATACACACTAAACCCTAAACCGTAAACCCTAAATCCTATAGAGCAAAACCCTAAACCCTAAATCCTAAACCCTAAACCCTAAACCCTAAATTCTAAACAATAAACCCTAGACCCTAAATCTTAAACCATAAACCATAAAACCTAAACCCTACAATAAACACTAAATACTAAACCCTAAATTAACCCTAAACCCTAAACCTTAATCCATAGAGACGAAACCTAAACCCTAGACACAAAACACTGAACCCTTTACCCCTAAACCATAAAAACTAAACCCTAAACCATAAATACTAAACCCTAGACCATAAATCTTAAACCCTAAACCCTATACACTAAACACTTAACCCTATACCCTAAACTCTAAATCGTAAACCATAAATCCTACAAAGTAAACACTAAAACCCTAAAAATTAAACCCTAAACCCTAAAACCTAAACACTAAATCCTAAACCCAAGACATTAAACTCTAAACTCTAGCTAAACCCTAAATAGTAAAATCTAAACCATAAACACTAAACCATACATCATAAAGACCTAATCCTTAAACCCTAGACCCTAATTCCTAAACCCTAAACAAAGAGTTGTGCAAAGTAGAGAGAAGAAAATCAATTAAGTAGTTAATTAGTTAAATGAAATCAACAGTCAACAATTGTTAGTATCCTAAGTATTTTCCATCGTAACAAAGAGTTTAGAAGAGATATAATTCTGGATTTGATATGCTTCATTTTATTATTGTTAGTTTTTCGAAACAATTTTAACTAATAAATATTCAAGTATATCCGTAGAGTTGTGACCACATGGATCTATATGGACCTTCTATATGTACCACACATCCAACAAATTTTGATCAAGTGATTGCTTTTTATATTCTATTACTAGGCGGGAATTTTTGTTTACCGACCTTTTGAACATCACTCTTGTTGCATTAAGGTCGTCGATCGCACACATAATACATTTACTTGTTCAGAGCAAAATGGATGAGAGTAAGTGTTCAAACAGTCTAATTCATATTGAAAATTTAGTTAAAATAAATTTATTCCAAAACTATGTATACTTGATTTAGCTTGAACTTAAATTTTTTTAATTTGACTATGATGGAACATAAGAAGAAATGTGAACGGCCACTTGTGGATAGTCACCAAATTCACGCACGCCGTCCATTTTTCTAAGGCCATATGGTTGCTTGTAGTTGGACACATCCATCTTTTATAGAACATTTAGTCATTCTTAAAGATCAAACATGTAATAGTCAATACAAAATAGATTGTCGATGTCCATGATAATACATCCACTTAAACTTGTTTATACGTAAATCCTTCTAATGATGGTGGCTTTCAAAATCTGACAAAAACCTTTCGGATAAACCGAATAAAAAAAAAAAGAAAATTGAAAGAAAACTTTTAGCCATGTTCTTGTGCAGAATTTATTTTTATTAAAAAAAACCACCACTCACTCACCCATTGACATCTTTTACTGTGAGTTTCCAACATCAATTGCCACTTTGATCAAGGGGCCAACAGAAGCATGCACCTTCAAGAACAGCAGACACAAACAAAGAGAAAGTCTCTTTTGCTGCACCAAAGGAAACAACAATGTCAAGAAAATCAAACTTGGATACAATGATAAAGACTATAAACTAAGTTAAACACCACATACGTGTTCATAAGGAGGACATGAAAGGAGCCAAATCATAGTTACAACGCATCCAATCGTTGTAAGATAACCGCCAATATTCCAGAGCACATGGAGAAAAGCTCCAAACGCAGACGCAACAAGAGCACATCATAAGGTCAGATAAACCTACAAGTTCCACCATAAGTACCACAACCAATGAATAACATTCCTTTATAAAAATCAAATTCCCTTTAACAGACCATTTATATGTAAATCGAACATGACGATCAACGAAATATCTCCACGGAATCATAAGCAAGTAAAATATTAACAAACTAATTCATGGAAAGACGCAATTAGAAACCCTAGAAATCTATGGAGAGCACAATCGCAACGATTCGTTCAACAAAAGCCAAATCCTAGAAATTGAAATGAAATCTAGAAACATAGAGCAATCAATACGAAGAAAACGAAAGAATCTCAGTGAATCGCATAACAAGCGCCTCTAATCTAGAAATCGCGGTTAGAGTGCGACATGAATGCATCGGCGACGAAGAAACTCACCCGTTTAAGATGATTTTGAATGACGGGAGAAATCTGACGGAAGTTTTTAAGAGAATCATAGCTTCAGCTTCTGCTACTAGGTTGAGAATCGAAGAAGGAAGAGAACGCATCCGTGATTTTGTTTTTTTTTGCTTGACTTTGAGAATCAATTAATGAAAATATTAGTGAAAAAGAAAGACTTTTCGTTGGCTTCGTAAAAATTGAAGGAAAGAGAAGAGAAGAGAGTCATAATAATGATTTTAATTTTTTTTATGAAATATTTAGAGTAACCAAACATAGTTTGAGGGTATTCTGGTAAAAAAACTTAAAAAAGTGTCCACTACTCCTAATGTGCCCCATCATGAGATTGAGTTTCATAAAAGTGCTCTAGAGAGCAATATTTCCATTAAATAAAAAGAATAATTCAGATACAAAAGAACAGATAATTACGACTTTATAATCGATATTAACAAATAAAAAAAAGCTATTGAAATTAGCATACGGTTACATAGTTCAGGTTTGATATTTGAAAATTGTGTAGGTTCGGGTTAATAAATACAGGGGTTCAGAGCAGGTCCGGCTTAACACATGTGTTACTAGATGCTCACGTAATGCTTGCGAATCCTGATGATGTGGGTGTTTCTAGTGGTTTTGATATCTATGATCCAAGAAATTGGGATATGCTTGATTTGAAAATGATAGAAACTTTAGCAATAAATGGACCAAAAAGAGATTTATCTATTGTAAAAGGTCCTAGAAACAAAGTTTCACGATTATGTAGTGAGTGCTTTGAAGGATGAAAGATTTTTGTTGTCCTCTGTTTTTCTTAGTTGTCGAAGAGTTTTTTATTACCATAGCTAAAAAATATAATTTGTCTTTTAAGTTAAGAATTATTTTCATTTTTAGGGTCCTCTTCTCATTATTAGGTTTGAGCCGCTCTGATTTAGAGTCTGGATTAAAAAAAGACACATAAAAATAGTTGGAGTTGATTATGGCTGTTTTCCCTGAGAAATACTCTCAAATTAAAATCATTTTTTTTGTCAAAATAAAACCAAATTTATTTTGAGTTTGGATGTTTGGTTTGTCATTTTTTTTTTTAACACGTTTGGTTTGTCTTATTTAGTTTGTTTTATGCTCATAATTTTTTTTTTTTTCGGTGCTGATCCTTACATATTTTCTAGAACAAATATATTACCTGATTTGTAAAGGTAAATGTACCACGAACATGTTTTGGGGAAATTTCTGCTATATAGACAGGTACCTGTTCAGTAAATATCATGAAATTATTTTTAAAATAGTTGTATATATAAGTGATAAATAAATAAATAAAAACATGTTAAGTTGATATTAAATATTAAAATATTAGGTTAATTACCACATAGCTAATTAGGCCGAGTCCTATTCCTGAGGAGATTCTTCCGAAGTTCAACCAGATCACATCCTTTTGTGTTCCAGACATAATGTAAATGATCAATTAATTCTTGGGTTTTATGATAAACAGTTTGTTAATTTTCTAAGTAATAATATTCTAAGTACAAACAATAAGTTTGTGGTAAGGAATATTTCAATACCTTAGCGAAAGCGATGGAGAACCAACCAATGATGCAGAGGAGATCGGAGACCCACATTGTCTTTTAATCATGAAAAGCAAAATTGTCATTAATAGCAAACATGCACATACGAAAATTTTAGTCAGAAAATGTAAAATTTGATTATCATATCATACTAGAATAATACTTAAGAATATGAAAGAGTGAAAATGTAATTAAATTACTTTTCTTCTGCCAAGGATGATCGCCATTTTACCGCTAAACAAAGCACCAATTGCAGCTCCCAAAGTGGAGAATGAAGCGAATGCTGAAAACTGTTAAAAATCTTAACTCAAAGATAAATTGCAGAAGTTGAGTTAAATCTTTTTTTATTGCGATATTAATTCAAATATTATAAAAACTAAAAAAAAAAAAATAGTATGTCATCTATCTTTTGAATGTTATTCATACAAAAAAAATGTTTTCGGTGTATTTCATTTTTCATATCTTAAATAAATATTTAACTATATTCAAAACGTCTATTATTGTAGGTGTTCATTAATTCTTCCATGATAGGTATATATGTACTATTTCTTTGGATGAGATCACAACTCCATATATATGTACGCATATGTTGTTTTCGTAAGGTTACTATTATGATAAGAACTTCGAAAAAAGAGTAAAAATGGATGTGACCCCCACAAGCCACGAGCCAACCAAGTAAAATCACCTTCATTGGGATACCGACAATATATAATTTTCTTCATCAGAAATTATTATTTATTTCAATCTGAATGAATAAAGAAACAAATAATATGGTTTTAAAATAGATGTGAAGTTTTAATTCCTGTCTAAATGGACAACACTGATCACATATAAGTATATAACCATCAATGTGTCTTTTCGCCATCTACCACTATATTTTTCTTTTTTACTTTTACGGTTACTAACTTAATATAAACACCTTGTAAAGACTTGGTCAATTTAATATTATGTTGATGGAAAAAGAACAAAAGAGAGACATACTTGCGCGATTGTAAGACCCAAGTCCTTCATAATTCCTATCTCAGCACCTGAAGTATAACCAAGCTGCCAAACAAAAAACAAAACAAAAACGTTTTTTAGTTTTTTTACTTGTTTAAACCTTGAGAGGAGCTACCCTGAATTACTTGTTTCTTAGTTTGTAATATAAATGTAGTACTTCCAAAAAAACAAAAATGCAGTAGCTTAGTTAAATAGTAGTCGTCATTGGTTCTTTAATTTAGGTTAGAAAGACAATCTTTACATCCACTTTTCGCCGGATCTTTCCCGGTATCGCCGGGAAATTTCCTATATGAAACTATAGTTGTATATAGGAATTGTAGAAGGCTCAAAATATAAGAGTTTTCTACCCGATCTTGGGTTTATTATTACTCTCTAGGAATATAGTGAATCTAAATCTGCCCTTTAATGGTTTTTTTTTTTAACTTTTTAACATTTATGTGTAGCTCAAAAAAAAAAAAGGCTCCGAATGGAGAAAGCGTATCGGGCGAAGCGGATCAAGCGGATCAGGCGTACCAAGCAGAACAAAAGCGGATCAAGCAGATCTGGCGGTACAAGTGCGGATCAAGCGGTTTGTACGCTTTAAAATATGTGTTGAATGGTGAAAGCGGATCCGACAATGCGGACGAAATATTTATATTGTAAAAAATACTAATTTTAAATAAAATATTTTATGGTAGCATCCATAAAACTATTTACTCATTTCATTGGACGTCTACAATATAAAATGAAATCATAGTACTTCATAAATTAAAATTATTAATAAATATGTTTTATGTATGTTTCTAATTATATTATGCTAACATTTTGAATTATAACTGAAAATATATTTATCAGTATTATTAAATATGTTTTCAGTAAATTTAAATGTATTAGATTATAATGAAATACTTACAATACGTACATTAATCCACATAATTTATTTTTTATTTGTGAACTAAAATTTAATCAATAGATAAATTATTATTTATACTATTGTTATAATATTTGTATGAATAAATAAATAGAAAGAAAAATAAACACACTTGGGAATCTCCTAATTGCACCTAATATGGAGTGTATAATATCTTAATTAGTTGAATACATTACACTTACAATTTTAAATTATATAAAATCTAAATATAATTAATTTTGGGTATTTTGGATACCTTTTCAGTTCTCGGTTTGGGTCAAGTTCGGTTCTAGTTCTTCGGATATATAAATTTAGGATCCATTCTTATATTGGATTTGGTTCGATTTTCATTTTTTTATCAGTTTGGTTTTGTAGTATTTTGTCCAAGCCAAAGTAATATTTTTAATTTGGATTGTTTTATTACCTAAAATCATTCTTTTAGTTTTATTTTAATTAATATAAAACCAAATTCTCTAATGTTTTGAGGTGAACGAAAATAATAATTTTTAAAAAAGAAAATGATTAGTATGGTTGTTTATAGTATTATCAAGTGAAAGAAATATTAAAATAGAGAAGAAATGTTGAACCGTACATGAAACACCTCAAATTTGAGGATATCCTACTGTTACAGGCGGATCACTAATGTTACTCATGTTTTTAGAAACGCCACAGTGAAATCAATATTTTTTAATTTTTTAATAAAGAACCACATATTTGACTTTTTCTTTGGTGAATGGAAGCATAATTGCGTTTCTGATACACTAAAGGACGGTCTGCTACTTATCTGTGCTCCCATTCACAGCCAAAATCTCATGTTATATTACCTCATCTGGTTGTATTTTTTTTTTAAGGTAAAATATATGTGGTTGTAGTTATCCTTATAAAGTTTTTTCTTTTCCGATTATTATAATCAGTTTACAATAAAAAGAAAGAAAAAAGTTCTTTTTACTATATAAGAAAAAAAAATAGCAAAGTAGAATGATGAGGATAAGAAACTCACAGAGACACCAAAGGAGAAGGAGCCACACACAGCGACGAAAGTACCAAGGATAACACAAGCAGTGATACGACAATCTGAATCGTCGTTTTGGTTCTTGAGCTGCAAAAGCCTTTCCTCAATGCTTCTTTCTTTCTCCTCCACCATCATTTTAACACATGCATGTAATGATATTGATACGGCACAATTTCTGGTAAATAAAACAGTGAGAGCTCGAGAAAGAGACAGAGTGATAGAGAGGCAGAGAGGAGAGAGTGAAAGAGAGACTGCTCTGTTTGTCACAGTGGGATTCTAATAAAAGGAGGGACACATGTTTTTTTTTTTTTTTTTTAATGGTTTTATGTTATGTCACAGTGTCGTACGTTTTTTTTTCCTTTACCCAATCATAATTAATTATTTTGTTTTCTAATCCAAAAGACTGGATAATTCCATTCCTTAATTAGTTTTTGATTCCTCTTCTATAATTTGGAAGGTTCATGCCTTGTTTTTTCTGCTTTTAGTTGAAGGTTTCGTCCACTTTCGGTTTAGGTTAAAATAATTCAGCTTTGTGTTTTCAGTATCTTTAGTTTCCTTTTCATAAGGTTTAGATTCCGGGGATTTCTCGTTATCCTCCGGCTATGACTCTGGGGACATTCATGTCGTCCGCCGGCTTTGATTCCCTCTTTTGGGCGTTTGTATTCCACCTTCGTTCCATAACAAGTTAATCAATAAAAATTTTAGATGACAAAAAAAAAAAAATTAGTTTTTGATTTTGTTTATACTTGGTTTTTGATTCAATGGGGAAAAAAATTTACGCAAGGGGATGGATTAATTGGAATGCACATGTGTGAGAGGTTTTTTTTTTAATCAAAGACATTTTGGGTCAGATCTTTATCCAATTAAGTTTTATTGGTTTTAGGAAATCAAAATACAGCTATTTTCAATAATTATTCCATTTTATAACATGTTATAAATAATATTTTTGTGTCATTTTATTTGATTTTAAATTTTCTATTTCAATTTTATTTTGTTTTCTGTTTTGTAATTATTTGTATCTTAATTAGAAAATATTTTTAACTATGGGGATTTGTTTCTAGTTATATGTTAACATGTTTTTATTTTTTTAAGAAAATTAGTGTAATTTTTTATCTCATTATTTTTAACTAAACTGTCTTATAAAAAGATAGTATCTCCGTAAAATCAAATCAAAACAAAATTAAATCAATTTCGAGTTGGTCTAATGGTTAAATCCTTGGATTACTGAAAAATATGGTCTTTGGAGGTCAAGTGTTAGATCTGTGTTGGGAAGGGTCTATCCTCTAAAAAATAGTTAAATTATATGGTCTATATTCCGCGTTGAGAAATATATGGACCAGTGTTCTAAAATACGATATACGCTAGGCGTACGATAGAGCACCGTATAACGTATAGACGTATATACGGCCGTTTATGCGGATACTATACAGTGAATATTTTTTGTTAGATAAATATTTATATATATAATAACAATAAAACATAAATATAGTAACATGATGAATACTATACATGAATACAAATTTAAAATTTTCAACTTTACGAAATATTTTTAAAATTTTAAATAACTAATAAGCAAAAAAATAATAGAAAAGAATGACAATAAAGTTATCTTATAGTTAGTTATTATGATTAATTTTTTGAGAGCCAAACTAATAATTTTGTTAAATCATTTTTCTAAACATTAATAAAATGACATACGGATTTCACCGTATATACACCGTATAATCGTTGTATATAGATCATATAGCTTTCACCGTATTAAACAACTGTATAGCTATAATACAATACGGCTTCCCAGCGTACATCGTATATACGGCCGTACAGACCATATTTTAGAACACTACGGACCCATAGGCCATGAACCTCCTAGGCATAAAAAATTAATATTAATTTGGAAGTAACTTTTTCTCAAAATGAAAAAAAAAAAAAAAAACAAAAACAAACCTTGAAAATCCTCTGAGTAAAAAATGAAAATAAAATTTTTAAGAAATGCTCATAAAACCACTTTTCAAAAATACCGTTAAATTTCTCGTGAATTCGGGACATGTATAATTTTCATTAATTAAAATTTTTGAAAATTTTTATGAGTATTTTCATTTTTGACACATAGGTTAACCAAGTTTCTAGTTCTTTCCGTCACATTCATCGTGATAACAAACTACCCGTTGATAGTACACGACCATATGATGCAATTTTGCACCTACGTGCATGTCGTTATGACCTTATACTTTTTTTTGGCGGTATACACAATATGACCTTAGCTTATACATAGCCCTGGGGTATTGCAAAAGAACAACCAAAAGCAGCGTGTCATATCTCAAGCCACGGACATTTCAGCTAACCTCCCCTCATCACGTGTAACACAAGCGTATAAATCATTTAGGGTGTTACTATATGGTACGTACTCACTTACCCTAGTTTTACCTTTCATTCTATATATTCACAATAAACTCATCACACACACACAAAAAAAAAACTCTTCACATCAGTTTAAGATTTAACGATTTTTTATTAGTTAAACGCAACATAATTCGACTTAATACACATCAGTACATCACTAAGGACCAAGCACACATCACACATTTCACACAAAGTCAATGTATTTTATAATCAATCCCTTTTCTTAAATATGTTGAGTACATACCTACTTTTTTTTTTTTTTTTTTTTTAACAAATCCCAAAATGGGCCTGGGCTTAAGCCTTACAAACCATTCAACGGGTACAAAAAGCGATACAGTTTCCGAAGACTATTCCGGTGGTCGGGATCTTATCCCGGCGGAGGCCGGAAGCGGAAAATGACCTAATTAAACCGGCAAATACAAGGTTCAGAGATTCGCGTCTCTATCGACAAGAGCAAGATCAGTGAATGGAGTATTTGGATCCCTTCACTGAGCCGAAACCGCCAACGAGCCAAGACCCTCTCCAAAACTCCCGGAATAGGACCACTCCGACAGACCGGATCCCCATCTCTGATTTCTCAACCTAGCAAACCAAAGAACAGACAGATCTAACCCCCAACCACCGAGAACAATTAACAACGAAACCAACGCCGAGATAACATTCAGATCCGGTCCGGTGAGAATGACCTGCGGAGGCTGACAAGAACGGAGGCTCAAACCCATCCTTCATCAACCCAGAAACCACGAGCAGCCAACTCCGGATCTATTAACCGCTAAACACCAAGACAAACGACGCACCCGCCACCCTGTCAGCAACTTCCGCCGCAAGCCGATGCACTTCCACGAACCGGTGAGCCGCGAGCAGCTTCACACAGTTCCTCCAGCGTCCTTGACCAGAAGAACCACCGGCGAAGCCTCTCGAAACCGTCAAAAAATACCTCGACCGCATCGCCACCAGGAAGTCCGTCGTCGGCAGAACGCAAACTCACCCCCGTCTTCCAATTTGCACGGCCCACCCTGCAATTAAGCTCAAGAAACCCAGAAAAAAACCTAGATCTAAAACTTTGCTTTTGTCTTCAAGAGAGAGAGAAGCGTCAATATCGCTTATTAATGCAATGTACTTACGTTGTATATTAACTGTAATGTACTTATTAATGCAATGTACTTACGTTGTATATTAACTGTACATTTGATATGGTTTAATTGAATCGCATAACTTTGGTTCCATACTAATTTTCTAATTTCTATTCTATCTGAGAATCGGTTACGTAATCCTGTAACAGGAACCTTTCGTTCTTCTATACATAATTACACACATATGCAACAACTAACTACCATTCAAACAATAATTAATCCCTTTATTTGGTTTTGATCATATAAAGATGGTTACTTTAAAAACAAATTATCTCTTTTGACTAGAGGTGATAGGTCGACTGAAAAAAGTACCTTGAAAATTTCCAAGAAGTCACATGGTCGAGTGGCAGTTGTGACGGATAAAAATATTAAAAGCTGGTTCGGACCTAGGAAGATGTATGGGTTTCGGTTTGGGCCTAGGAAGATGTATGGGTTTCGGGCCGGAACTTCCTAGTTTAGAAAATAAAATAAAATAACTAATTATCCCTTTTGAGAAAAATGGTTGTTTACATAAAATAAACCAATATAATCTTACATGTGGGTTTCAATTATTACATTTTGTACTAATTAATCTTAACTCAACCCAATTGCATTCAAGTGTTTGTCTTGTTAAGACAAAATGTTACTAGTGATGAATCGAGCCAATATATGTTTGTTTTTGAATTATCCTTGTGGTTTCCATGCGTATCCAATTAATATTAGCCATCAACTAACAACCGTAACAAAATTGTCGAATCAAACTTACCATATTACATCAGCACGCATGATGCATAATTGTTATCCAATATATAAAAAAAAAAAAAAATGTTATCCAATGTTAAATCAAAATTCTGAGATATCACGTTTCCTGTAAGTCTATTTGTGTTAGCCCTACAAGTGAACTAATTGATATTAAACAAAATTAGGATTTACCAGTTTAGATTAATTAATTCATCATTACCGTAGTTACCTAATACATCTCCTCTAATTTTTTCAAAGTAAAAAAAGGTATTACATTTGCATTCTCAGATATAAATACAAATGTACATAGGCCATGTTTTACATCTCGTCAAAATGCATAAAAGGGGACTAAGTACCCGGAAAACTAAAATAGTAATTACATAATGAAAAAGAAAAAGGAAAATGTTCTTTGTATATGAACATATATATAACACCATTTTTTTATCAAATATATATATATATATATATATATATATATATATATATATATATATATCAAAATAAAATATTTCAAATTATGTTTGATTTCTTTCGTCGGGCTGATGAATAAGTGAAACTTGTATTTCTTCAAGTGACAATCCTTTCGTTTCTGGAACGAGCAACCATATAAAAAGCAACGCTGCTCCGCCGATACCCCCGAATATAAAAAATGTTCCTATTACATTAATAAAAGTTAAATAAGAAAATTATCTATTAAAATCAACTGTAATATATATACACACACATTAGAATACAATTAATTTTGTTCCACAATTATTACATATTCTTCCAAACCAATATCCAACTAATTAGTTTAGTCCCAAAAAAACCAAATTGTTACGTTATGAGGTTTTATAATAATGCGATAAATACAGATTTTGATTACTAGTTTTCTAGACTTAATCATTGATTTGATCTTCCTTTGTTGCCTAGATAATTTATAACCTAATTAAGAAAATTTGTATAAAATGAATAAATAGGTTGACAAAAAAAAACAGATACCTTGAGTGCTCCACTCGAACAGAAAGTTGAAAGCGTAAGTGACGATTGAACTACTTGAAAATGAGACTAACGTAACTATACTTCCTGCGGTTACTTTTATATTTATTGGAAATATCTGCACACACCAAAAATCATACCTATATTACTTCACTTTCAAGACATATTACTTATTTTCTGCATTGAAAATAAAAAGTTGATATTCTGAAAAATTAAAGCAGAACTAGTTTACGTACCTCCGACATAATTACCCAAGGGAGGCCTCCCAAGCCTATTGCATAAGTTGCAATATACAGCTGCCGATAATAGAAATTCATTTTTAATTATGTTTTATTTGTAAATGAGACATCAACGTAAATATTACATTAAAACAATCGTGTACAATGAGATAAAATGTTTTACCATAACGCATATAAACGATAATACTGGAGTTACTTCCGAAAGCAATTGCATTTTCTGCTCATACCATACAAGTAAAAACATTGTTAAACAAATAAGTTATTGGGTTAAAGATAGAATAAATAAATAACTGTAGTAATGAAGAAAAAAACTTTAAATAACCTGTAATGTGAAGGCGACCCCAAGAAGCATGCAAGTCATGCTCATCCCAAACGCAGAAGTCTATGTCAAAATAGTAATCAAATCAATATTAGACTAACCGATTGCTTTTTTTGTTTTTTGGGGGACAAATTTATTAATAGAGTGTTTTGTAACTAAAAATAAAGTCGTGCTTACCAACAACAGAGGTCGTCTGCCCCATTTATCGACAAGAATGAGACCAATCATGGCTTTTGGAATCTGCGAATAGACACAAATCACCATTCAATGCTTACAAGTTACAAGAGTTCAAATGAATTTTTTTTTTTTATTAACAAATTTTTTTTTTTTTTTTTGGACAAAGGAAATTCTTAGTTAGTTCATTAAAGTATGAAAACCGAACTTTTTTTTTTCAACTTCGAAATAATTGTCGATTAAAACGCCAGCATAACAATAGTTTAGTTTCTGAATAACAAAAGATTTCAAAAACATAAAATGATTTCATAAATTTTGCATCAATATAGTCAAAAAGAAAAATTTGACAAAAAAAAATTTATATACACTTACCACGAAGATACCTAGCATCGTCGTTCCAATGGCCACTGGAAAACCTGTTTCAACCCAAAACAAATTACTAAGCAAATAAAAAAAAAAATAGAAAGAGGAAACTCATGGTAAATATTTTACTATAAACTTTTTCTCCTGAAGTATTTAAAACGAGATAATGGCAAAGTTTACAAAATGAATAAACAAATTGATTAATTAGTAGAAGAAAATATAAGTATTTGTTTCAAAAAGCAGACTCATAAAAAACTGAAACTTCTATGCACATACTTCACTTGCAGATTCGAATAGATTGTTGTATATATTCGTGTGCATATATATATATTGTTATTGCCGACATTTTTGTATAAAATAAAAATTAATAAAACTTAATCTTACCAGCTTTTCTAAAAATGGTACTTGCATAAGAGATTACAGCAGCACTTCCTGAGAATTGTTGTATCAACATTAGCCCGATTCCTACCTGAGATATTAATTATATAAAAAATGAATGCTTGTGCATACAAATATGAAAATAGATAGTCAAGAAATTAATTTTATGTACTTATTTTCCAACATACCACGAGGGTGTATCTATACTTTCTCTGAAACAAATCAGAAATACTCGACTTTGAATCATTTTCTACCAGTTTGGTCATAACCTGAAAACAACACAAAATCATTCACACTTTACATTTTTTATATTGGTGAAGGAAGAAAATATATATTTTTCAAATAAAAGAGAAAAAATGAATGAATATTTAATGAATACTATATAAATTATAACTGATAATATTATATAGTAAAACTCACTTGAATTTCCGAGGCTTCACGTGACATATCAGCATCTCTCCCTCTAAGCCGAAGCAGTGAATTTTCTAGTTCTTTATCTGTACCAACTTTTGCCTTCAAAATTAAAATAGTTTGGTTTAGTTTGATTTCTTCTCATGGTTGATAAATTACATAATGGATTTTCTTTACAAACAAAAAAATGACCAACCAGCCATCTTGGAGACTCTGGTACGAAGAATAAACCGATTACTTGAATGAAGCATGGTAAAGCACCTAAACCGAAAATATTTTTATCAGTTGATTTGTTATAATATAACAGCTCAAGATTTTTCATTTTTTGTTTTTTTCTGCTATTTAACATATTTTTACGTATCGAAACATCTCTTCCACGATGAATATAAAATTAATAGGTTTACCTAATAAAGCCAACGTCCTCCAATTGATGAAATTCCCACAAAAATAAATCATGGCGAGTCCAGCGTTTTGGAGAAGCTAATAATCAAATCACACAAGAATGAAAAAAAGAATCAATACACTCACGAGGAAGCTAACAAAGTATAGTTTAAGAAATTTTGAAAGTTCCAGGTTTTTATATGGATTTTGATTGAAGTTTTTGTTTTTTGGTTGGTGAATCTAACGAAATAGTTAACGATAAGAAAATGGAATCACTTGATACAAAGAAAAGTAATGAATACTATCTTTGCTTCAATGTAAGTGGTGTTTGAAGTTTTTTACACAGACTAAAAAACTAAATATACAGTATGTATTTTTTTTTATTATTATATACGTCCCCACAATTACTTCATTTTTGTTTGGTTCTGGCGTAATTTGGTCATGTTGGTGAGGAAATTTATCAACTTAAAGCAAAACTTTATTTTAGTTTCGCTGGTTTGGTTTTGCTTTTTCTTAATTTTTTGTCGGCTCATCCTTATATATATTGTAAAACTAAAATATTACCTGGTTTGAAAACGTAAATGTACCACGAACATGTTTTGGCGTAATTTCTGCTATATAGACAGGTACCTGTTTGGTAGATAAGCAAAAAATAATTTATATATATTGAATATAAATAAATGCACAAACTTGGTAGGATATTTCTGATATATATATTTGGTGGGTGTTAGGATATGATATTGAATAAATAAAAAAAACAAAAAATTAGCTGAAGTTAATAAGTTAATTACCACATAGCTCGTCAAGCCGAAACCTATCCCTGAAGTAATTCTTCCGAAGTTTAGCAACACCACTTCCTTTTGTGTTCCAAACACAACACAAATAATTTATTGCATTGTTGGGTTTACGATAACAATATATAAATTAAATGGATTGTTTTTTTGGTAAGAAATAATATTTGTTGAAAAAAAATTGTGAATAGAAGAAATAATTAGGACCTTAGCGAAAGCGATGGAGAGCCAACCAGTGATGCATAGGATATCGGAGACCCACATTGTCTTTTATATCATGAATATCAAAAATGTTATTGTAAGCATTATTAATTTTACGAATATGAAAAGTTAAATGGTTTAATTAATTACCCCTCTTCTGCCAATGACCATGGCCATTTTACCGCTGAACAGTGCACCAATTGCAGCTCCTAAAGTGGCGAATGAGCCAAACGCTGAAAACTGAGAAGAAAAAGAATTGATTAAAAAGAAATCTATTTTCCATTTATATACAATATTTCAATATTTCAAAACTTCTATTATTGTAGATGAGAGATCTGGCCGGAGATTGATTCTGGAATGATAGAATCATTGATATATAGACAGATATTGGTTTTTTTGTATGATTTCGACTACTCCATATATCATAATATTATATATATATATTATTAATTAATATATACATATATTATATATATGTATAGTTTTGGTAGGGTTATCATATTAGGACAAGAGTTTCAAAAATGGATAAAAAAGGAGGTGAACGGTCCCACAAACTAAAGTATAATCAACTCATTGGGATATATATCTTCTTTATAATTGATGGTTGTTTATTTCAAATGAATGAAAAAGAAAACAAATAATACGGATTTAAAAAAAGATGCGAAGCTTTTATACTGATAAAATTGGACGATAATTAATCTAGTATTTTTTTTGCATGTGTCACTCGTTCTCTGTTGCTTAATCATGCATAAAATATTTTTTCTGTTTGTTTAAGGTTATTAGTGTAAAATATTTTGTTTGTAGAAACAATAAAAAGAAAGTAAAAGAGAGACATACTTGCGCGATAGAAAGATCTAAGTCCTTCACAACTCCTGTCTCAGCACCTGAAGTATAACCAGTCTGTATTAAAAAATCAAAAACTATAGAAATTAGATAGAACGTAATTATGAAGTATTTTTTTTTATATATGCAAATTTTTTTTTCATTTTTATGAATTTTGTATTCAAAGAAAAAAAAAAGAAAAGTAAGGAAAAGAAACTCACAGCAACACCAAAAGAGAAGGAGCCACAAACGGCGACAAAAGTGCTAAAGATAACACAAGCAGTAATACGACACTCTGAATCGTCGTTTTGGTTCTTGAGCTGCAAAAGCCCTTCTTCTATGCTTCTTTCTTCTTCCACCACCATCATTTACACTTGCATGTACAATATGACACAACTTCTGGTAATCAAAACAGTGAGAGCTAGAGAGGGAATGCTCTGTTTTTAGCAAAAAACCAAGAGAGCTAGAGAGAGAAAAGAGAAAAGAGAGAAGAGAGAATGATGTGTTTTTTTTTTTTTTTTGAATGAATGATGTGTTTGTCAATATAGGCTACATACCTTGTTTGAAAAATCGCTAGGCGCTAGTCGGGCGCTCGGTATAGGCCTAGCGATTAATCGGAAAATCGGATTAAAATCGGGGATTAATCGGGGATTAGTTTTAGGGTTATTTTAATATTTTTAAAATATATTAATCCAATATTGTAAAAATTTATGATTTTTATTACAAATTTATGATTTTTATTAAAATTTGAAAACAAGTTATTGTAAAACATCACAAACTCTCCGTTCAAATGATTGAATAACAAAAATAAAAAAAATTTTATACTTTCAATCTAAAAAATAATCGGGGTATATAAGATTAGGCGGGAAGTAATCGGATTAGGCGGAGAATAATCGGGTTACTGATTTTTTAGGGGATTAGTCATTAATCGAGGCGGATATGGTGGGCCTAGCGATTAAGCGGGGAGTAATCGGGGCTAGGCGGGGATTTTTAGAACAGGGGCTACATATAAAAGGAGGTTGCGACACTATTAGTCAATCAAAAATGTTATTTTGATTTTCTATTCTTTAGGGGTTTTGGATTGGAAAGCTACGTGTGGACGTGAGACGTTTATTTAATAAGATCAAGTCAAATTTCATTAAACTAAGTTTTGTTGTTTTAAAAAATATTAAAAATACAGCTAAGCTTGAAATTATTATTCTTATATGAATCATTCATCGGATTCTAAAATAGTTTGACGTATTCAAAATGTTAAATACTTTGAAAAATATTGACATATATCCTTTAACCAAAAAATGGTTATTTTGGTTTTCTACTCCTAAAAGGTTGGATTGGAAAGTCAACGCGTGAGACTTTGTTTTTTTCTAATAAGACTTGAGTCAAAATTCATTCAAAAAAAGTTTTGTTGTTGAAATAAATATATATATACAGAGCTAGTGTTTTATTATATGATCATTCATCATGAGCGTATATTTCTAAACTAGTTTGAAAAATTCAAAATACTATGAAAATGTTGACATATACTTTAACCAAAAGTTTTTTATATAACATATATATATATATATAGCATATTATATACATTACGATTAATCGTCTACAACGAATGATCCTAGTTATATGTAAATGCAGAGAAACCTCTGTATCTTTCACACATATTTGGAACCAATAATCTGAGTCATGACATATACGTTGGATCAACCAAAATCGTCGGTTGCTTTCTTTTTTTTTTTTTTCTGAAAGTTGATTCCAAACTTGTAAAAGTAACGTATTCTCTTATTGATTGGTCCATTATCTCAATGTATCTAGATAGATTCATGAAAATATCATTTAACTATTTTTCTTTATTTAATTTTCCATGCAATTTAAATCCTATTAATTTTATTCTTATAAATTGTATCGCTCGTTTAGATTATCGAACCATGTTAATTCTTTTGATTTAAAAAAAAAATCACAACCATTTTAATTCTTTTGATTAAAAAAAAAAATCACTGCAATATTTTGTACGTTTTAAGAAGTTTTCACTCGTAACCTAAAATAAAGAAAACTGTGATGATCCAACTCCATATTCGATGTAGAAAAATCAATCATTTAGTCATTCATTGGATGAAAATCGTTTCCACCTTTTTTGTTTGTTTGTTCATGTATATTCTTTGTCTAAAAACCACACAAGTTAGAATCTTTAATTTAGTCATTCTTTTTCATTTGTTTTGCTAATACTATCATTTAATGTTTTATAAATTACGATTTTAAACAATTTAATGTTGTTATCATCCATTGTTATTATTCTTACGCTAGGATCTATATACATGTTACCATCAAGAAATGGAATCATGTATTCCCTCCGTCCCACAAAGATAAATTTTTTAGAAAAAAAATTTGTCCCACAAAGATAGAAGTTTTGTGTTTTTAATGTCAAATTTAAAACAGTTTACATATTTTACCGGAACGACAATGTATTTCCTCCCCATAACTTTCATATAGCCCCACATCCACTCAAAGTTTCACCCTCTCTCTATTTCTTCCCAACAAAATAGTTCTCTAATTATTTCTCCCCAGATCTAAAATTTGATACATATCTCCACATAAAATGAAAGTTCGAAATTAATTTACACATCGGGCTGGATTAATATTGGTTTACTGTAGACCAATCAAGTTTTAACCAACATAAACGAACTTAAGCCGGACCTAAACCAATTTAACTTGAAATCTAGACCCGATTACCCCCAAATCATAAATCCCCTAAACAAGAAAAATCCCAAATACAAAACCCTTCCCCACGTAATCGTGATTTTGCAATATCGAAGAAAAGAAAGTGACCCAAAACCTCTAATCGCGAGTTCGTTTATCTTCGCCGATGTCAGTACTCGAGATCGAGATGAACAATGTTCATATTGATGAGGAACCCGATGATGAAAATTTGGAAGACCAAACCGCACGAAGTGAATTCAACCTCGAGCAAGCAGTAAACGAATTCGTCGATGAACCGTGTATTCGTCACGATGTCATTCCCGAGAGTGATAGTGACGAAGACGAAGATGTTCAACGGGGGAGAGATCGTATTGATATCAGACGTGGTGATGGGAATTTGTACAAGGACCAAGTGTTCTACAATAAAATCGCGTTTAAAGAAGCTGTCCTCGACTACGCTCTTCGATCAGGTAGGAATATCAGGCAGTACAGGTATGATAAAACAAAGCTTGGGTATCGTTGTAATGCTGATGGTTGCGAATGGCGTATCTACTGCTCAGTTAGTTCTAAGTCTGATAAGTGGCAAGTTAAGAAATTTAAGGAAAAGCATAGTTGTACGGTTAATGGGGAGTGTGAGCTGATGAAAGTGCCAGTAATTGCAAGATTATTTCTTGACAAGATCCGGGATGAACCTGTTTACTTATGCCAATGAAGATTGAAGAACTGATAATGCAAAAATGGAAGATTAGTGTATCGAGGCCTCAGTGCTAAGATGCTAGGCTTAAAGCTTTGAAATGGATTGATAAAGAATATGATGAGCAATTTGCACGGATTAGAGATTTTGGTGTTGAGATAGAAGAATCAAATCCGGGTTCTACGGTGGAAATTGATACCCTCACGAATGAGAATGGTGAAGATGAATTCAATAGATTCTATGCGTGCTTTGAGAGTCTTAGAAGAACATGGAAGGAGACTTGTAGGCCGATATTAGGAGTAGATGGCTGTTTCTTAAGAGGAAAAACAAAAGGTCAGTTGTTAGTAGCTTTAGGACGAGATGCGGACAACGCTATATATCCAGTGGCATGGGGCGTTGTCCAAGTGGAGAATGGCCCTAATTGGCTGTGGTTTGTGAACAAGGTTAAAGCTGATTTGGGACTAAAAGATGGTGAAGGATACATATTGATCTCGGATCGTCAGAAGGTATTAATGTTTGTATTGGTTATTACTTTGTTTTTCTACTATGTTTTCTCTGCTTTAATTTGTGGTTATGTTACAGGGATTGATTAGAGCTGTGGAGATAGAGTTACCACAGATTGAACATAGGATGTGTGTCAGACACATATATGGGAATTTGAAGGCAAATCATGGTAAAAAATCACAGATGAAGCCGTTTATCTGGAATCTAGCATGGAGTTATAATGAGGCTGAATATAGAGAAAACCTAGAGAGATTGAAGCAGTATGATATGGGTGTTTATGAGGATGTGATGAAGTCAAACCCAATGAGATGGTGTAGAGCTTTCTACAAAATTGGCCACTATGTTGAAGATGTTGAGAACAACTCCACAGAATCATTTAACAACACGATAGTCAAAGCAAGAGAGAAGCCACTGGTGCCTATGTTAGAAATGATTGCTCGGCTTGCAATGGTACGTATTGCCAAAAGAAGTGTTAAATCTCATGATCACAAGGGTTTATGTACACCATATGTGGAAGAATATCTTGCAAAAGAGCTTGAAGATGCTGCAGAAGTTAAGGTTCACTGAAGTACAAACAAGATGTTTTTAGCTATGTTGTATGGTTGTTCTTACCGTGTGAGTTTGAATCAGAGGACTTGTAGCTGTAGGAAATGGGACATCACAGGAATCCCTTGTGTACATGCATATGGTGTTATCCTTAAGTTGAAACTTAAAGTTGAGGATTATGTCTGCCACTGGTTTCGTACAACTCAATGGAAGAAGAACTATACAGAGGGTCTTGTTCCATTAAGAGGTGCAAGGTTTTGGCCTGTTGGAACAGCTCCTCAAGTGCATCCAGCTCCTGAGCCTCCACAGCCTGGCAGGAAAAAAAAAAGTAAGAAGGTGAAAAGAAAGAAAGGAAAAAATGAGTCTCCTTTGAAGAAGCAACCAAAGCTTCTAAAACGAGTTATGCATTGTGGGGTATGTGGTGAGGCTAATCACAACTCTAGGTTTCATAAGAAGAAGAAAGAGGTTTGTGTTTCATATTCTAATGTGTCTACGTACTATGTTTTATGTGTGTTGTTTAACTCTTTTGTTTGTGTTGTTATTACAGGTTCCTCAAGGTGAACCTTCTCAAGGAACTGTCACGCAGGAAATGAGGTTGAACTGAGCTGGTATAGAGCTTAGAAGAAGCTTTTGGTCTGTTTTTTTTGTTAAAGCTTTTGGTCTGTTTTCTAGGATTAAGAAGCTTGCCTCTAATGTTTGTTTTTCAGGCTTTTAAACTAAATGTGTCTTGGGTTTGTTTGGAGTCTAATTTGTCTTTGTTTTTCAAGCTTCTTAATTGTTGTCTTTGTTATGAACTGGTCTGAGCCAAATTATGCATATTGAATGCATTTTTAACTTCCATTTTGTCTCTGTTTTCTCTCTGTTGAATGCATTTTTTTTAAAATAACAACCAAATGCGTCTCTGTTTTTTTTCTCAATAAGAGCATTACATCACAATTGAATCAACCAAGCACTTTATTCAAACCAAACATGATCACATAACCTAGAACATCAACAATCTCGCTTTTCACTATACATCTTCTACCCTCTCCTCAAAGATCTCTTTCTCTACTTGCATTTGGAGATTTGACGTTCAAGTATAAATTCCGGATGCATTACTCATTGTTCATATCGATGTGATACAAGAAATCAGAGATTCGATGTGATGATTTGAATTCTGAGCTTTTTTTAGGGTTCTTAGTTTTCTGGAATTGGGGATTTTTAAACAAACGTTGATATTGCGGGTTACAAGTCCGGTATTAACTCGACTCTGGTTTTCAGTTCGGTTTGACGTATGGGTTTCTTGGTTTCGTATCCGGTTTACGTCTTCATCCCAATAAACCAACCTCTATGTACAACTAGGTCTCGAACTTAAGATTTGGGGGTAATTAAATATAGAACTATGATTCTGGGGAGAATAAGACAGAGAGTGAAAGTTTGGGTGGAAGTGGGGCTATACGAAAGTTATGGGGGAGAAATACATTGTCGTTCCTATTTTACCCAGATTAAACAACAATAAATAATATACTCTTTAAAATATATTAAAAGGTTAAAATTATCATTATACATTATTTTTTAAAGAATGTGAAATTTCTAAAAAATCTATCTTTTTGGGACGGAAAAAGTATTTGATTTTATTTATGAAATATCAGGAGACTATATAAAAGAAAAGTCAAGGCTAACGATTGAATTCGTAACTCGTACGGTTCAACTATAATATCAATAAATGCTATTTTTGGCAACACAATATCAAATTATCAAATAAATGCATATTTTATCTGCTAGTGACATACCTGTCCAACTAACTCATACAAAAAGACAAAAGGATTAATTAAAATTGTATAAACAATTAACGAACAATAGTACTAACTTAAGTATTGTCTAAAATTTTGTATAAACAACTTTAATCCAAAATCTGATAGACAAAAAATATTTAGAATCCAACAGATTATCTGACAATTAATCCATAACTGTATACTCTTTCTGTTTCACAAAGAGTGTCATTCTACCATTTTTCATACAAATTAAGATAACTAAACAAATTTCATTTATACCCTTTATTAATACACTATAAATTTCACTATGCATACAAATTAAGATAACTAAACAAATTTCATTTCTACCCTGATATAGTAGGGATAAAAAAGAAAATTAGTCTTAAAAACTGTATTGAAAACATAAAACGACACTCTTTGTGAAACAAAATTAAAACCTTAAAACGACACTATTTGTGAAACGGAGAGGGTATAAAAAATACTTGGAATTTAAAACCACTAACTACTTCAATTAATTATTGAAAATTCGAAATAGATTAACATAGATTTGACTTTTGGACCATTAAATAGAGAAACAACTTACTTGCCTTAAATTCTCCTCAATATCCTGAAACTACGATCTAATCCATATTATCCCCAATAATTGTCCACTACTAGTTTGACTTTTGGTGCTTCTTTCGAAATTGACAATTTGTTTATGCAGTTGAACAAATCTAATTTGGACAAGCAAGTAAGCTTTCGTGGATAGGGATTCGTTAGGTATGAAGTTCGAAATTTTTTAGAGTAGTCCATATCATCACACATGATTTCTTATGTCGTGCTGCAAATTCAATCTTTGGGTGTAGAAATTTTTTACAGTTTTAATGTAAAATAATTCATTTGAAAATAAATAGTCTATTAAGTATTAACACAACCCAAGTTCAATTCAGAAAATAGACTATCTCTCTTCCACAGCCCATGTATATGGCATATATATTGTGATGTGTACTGCCGACAAAATAAATGTTTGAATTGATGCCCTCATTTCATGTTTTACTTGTGTTTTAATTTCCACCATACTAGAGTTCTTTTAAAATATTCGGAGGATCCTCATTTAGATCATTGTAAACTTTGTCATTCATTCTTTTGTATAAAACACCGAATTTTGACAATTGTTTTAAAATATAATCACATAATTTTAGGAAGAATTTTAAGAAATCCCCAGTTTGGATTTTGAAATTAATTAAAACATAATGGTTAAATTTGTCAAAAGTATAGTTATTATGAAAAATATTTGTAAATAACTAAGTTATGGTGACTAACGATTTAAATAACTTTTCTTGTTTGTAAAAACAGAAACACACATTCATAAAAATGTAAGAAAAATAAAACATTATTTTCGTGTTAGAACAAATAAATCGATCGGTACGTTAAATTTTACCTACTATAAATTATATGAAATAAATTACATGAACTTGTAGCATATATGGGAAAAAAAAAAGAACTTGTAGCATATATCTCCAAAACTACTTTTTTTTTTAACGTAATGTTAAATTATATTCAAGAAAAAATAACGTTTTGGTACATCTTATGCAAATTGTTCTGAACATATTTGAAAGCTATAAGAACAAGAGATTGAATTTAGCTTCTAGAGGCAAACCAAGCTTGGAGGCTTGACTTGTATCTCTGTCGCATGTAGCCCGGATCATGGAGAGTTGGTTTCCAATATTCTTATCCATCCAAATGATGAGTTGTGCTGCCGGAGTTGGTTTCTTGCCGTGTCTCTTCCAATTTCGCTCCCGCCATTTCGTATACACCGCTATTTGGTTTGAAAACTACATGATTTGTATAATCAGTTTACTAATACTTTCGTATAAAAGTATATAAAAACTACATAAACTCTGTCGAAAATTGATATTGGTCTGTAAATATTTCTAAATTTGACATAACACTTAAGAATTCCTAATTATAAAAGTTTGTAAATGCAAATAATTGTATTCGCATAGTGTGGATGTCGGATTCACACACTCAAGTATTTTATTAAGTAGGAAAGATTATTCTTGAGGGACAAAAATGAATATGTAAAAGCTTGTAAATTGCTATGAAAATTGCTATAATATTTCTCTCTTGAGAGGAAGATCCCCTTTACATGGCCATTGGCCTCTATACTTATACCTAAAGAAACGACATTAAAATGAGTAATTAAGTACAATTATTCCTTCTTAAATGTGTCCGTTTTGATTCTTCGATTTTAATGCTCAACGTTTGAATTTGAGTTGACTCTGATCTTCATGGGCCTCGCCTTTTTGGCCCAAGTGTCCTCGAACCGACTTACCCGTGTCTTCTACATCGAGCCCGTGTCACAGTGCAATCACTTCGGATTCTCGAAGTGGTGACAACCACTTCGACCGTCCCTTCGGTTCACGGGTCCAATGGGCTTCATCCTTTATGGGCCATTATCTTGACTACGTGGCAATCTTTGGTTGGTCTCGTACTTCTGGTGCGGGATCCGACACCAACAATTAGCCCCCCAAGTTCTTCGAAGTGCTATTCCAATTCGGAGGACTTTAAATGCTCAAGTGGCCAAAGATTGCGCTCGAGAATCTTTCTGATTTCCCGCCGAAAATCTCATCACTCCTTTAATTTCGGCACTAGCCATTTTTAACCGAGTGACATCTGTCATCATTATGACCGTATATTGATTAATTACTATTAAAACGGGAAAAAACCTTCCCACTTCCCACACAACTTCCGAGGCGGTTTCATCATTAGCTTGAGGTAACTTCTTTTCACCATTACTCTCTTCTTTTACTTTTGTACTTTAATCAGAACCTCTCTCTTCGTTTCTTCACCAAAAACCCCCCTTCGCCGGATCCTGAATTTTTCTTTCTTCCCAATGACTTCCGATTCCGATAGACCCGAGTCTCCGTCTTTTGATGAGAGGCGTTCTAGCAATGACAAGTGCACCCGCTCTGATGATATCGCCGGTCCGCACTATAGGTCTACTTGTACTCTTCAATCCCTCGAGCGGTTGAGAGAGCTTTGCCGGATTCCGCCAGAAATTATGGCGGAAGCACAAATAGCTTCCCCCACAGAATCCCCAAAGAACCATCGCGATGGTTACTTCTGTGTGTACGAGATTTATTTCAAGGGTTGCGGGCTGACCTTTCCTCTTCCCGAAGCCCTAGTTCTATACCTAGCGGCTCTTGAAATCGCTCTTCCTCAATTAACCCCCAATCTTCTCCGTACTATTCTTGGAATTATAACAATAGCGGCGGAGGCCGGTTACGTTGTCGGAGTTACTGAACTAAATGAGCTTCTAAGCGTGAGAAGTTCATCGAAGAAAACGGGGTATTTCTCAGCATATCCTAATGCCAACAGGAACATCATTTCACATCTTCTGAACAAGGATGAAAATTGGCATCATCCTTGGTTTCTGATTAAGAAAACTCCCGCTTCGATTGGAAATCTCGCAGATTTTCTCCCTTCGAAGTGGTCCGCGAAACCCGGTAGTGATTAGGTCGCCCGTATCTTTCCCGGTTGTTTCTTTATCTTTATTTACTAACACCGTTGTTTCATTTCGCAGCTTTCATCGCTTCCACTCTCCCATCTGAAGAGTTCATCGAATTCTTCAAAATAATTCTTGAAGGGGAAACCCTTTGGAATTCTTTCACTCTTGATCGATTCCTAGAAGCTAACCACAGACTCAGGATGAGTCCACCTGGTCATCTTCACCAAATTCCGCCCCCTCCCTCAACTCAGGGAATGTCATCTCGGGCCCTTGCGGCCAAGCGTAAGTTGCTTTCCAAGCCGATGGCTGAGGCTTGCGAGGAGAAGAAAAAGTTTCTCGCGACTTCTGTAGACAAGAAGGACTACAGTAGGACCTTGCTGGTTGATGATG